GTTAGAACTTTCAGCATCGGTTCTAGCTTAGAACTGGCAGCATCCCTTATAGGTTAGAAATGCCGGCATCAGTTTAAGATTAGAACTGTCAGCATCCCTTATAGGTTAGAACTGTCAGCATCAGTTCTAGGGTAAACTGTCAGCATCAGTTCTAGGTTAGAAATACCGGCAACAGTTCTAGGTTAGAACTGTCAGCAACAATTCTAGGTTAGAAATGGCAGCATCACTTATAGGTTAGAACTGTCAGCATCCGTTCTAGGTCAGAACTGTCAGCATCCTTTACAGGTTAGAACTGTAAGCATCAGTTCTAGGTTAGTACACCTATCAATATCAGTTCTAAGTTAGAACTGTCCGTCATCATCCCTTACAGGTTAGAACTGTCAGCATGCATTATAGGTTAGAACTTTCAGCATCCGTTCTAGGTTAGAACTGTCAGCATCTCTGTTCTAGGGTAAAACTGTCAGCATCCCTAATAGGTTAGAAATGCCGGCATCAGTTCTAGGTTTGATTATCTGCATCAGTTCTAGGGTAGAACTATCAGCATCAGTTCTAGGGTAGAACTATCAGAATCAGTTCTAGGTTAGAACGGACAGCATCAGTTCTAAGTTAAAACTGTTAGTTTTTGTTCAAGGGTAGAACAGTAAGCATCTGTTCTAGGGTAGAACAGTCAGCAGCAGTTCTATCCTAGAACTATCAGCATCAGCTCTATCCTAGAACTGTCATCATTAGTTCTATGTTAGAACTGTCATTATAAGTTCTATGTTAAAACTGTCATCATTAGTTCTATGTTAGAACTGACATTATTAGTTCTATATTAAAACTATCATCATTAGTTCTATGTTAGAACTGTCATTATAAGTTCTATCCTAGAACTGTCATAATATTTTCTATGTTAAAACTGTCATCCTTAGTTCTATGTTTGAACTGTCATCATTTGTTCTAGGGTAGAAATGTCATCATTAGTTCTATGTTAGAACTGTCATCATTAGTTCTAGGGTTAACTGTCAGCATTAGTTCTAGGGTAGAACTGTCATCATTAGTTCTAAGGTAGAACTGTCGTCATTAGTTCTAGGGTAGGACTGCCATCATCAGTTCTAGGGTAAAACTGTCAGCATCAGTTATAGGTTAGAACTATCAGCATCAGTTCTAGGTTAGACTTGTGAGCATTCCTTATAGGTTAGAAATGCCGGCATCCATTCTAGATTAGAACTGTCAGCATCACTTATAGGTTAAATCTGTCTGCATCAGTTCTAGGTTAGAACTGTCAGCATCCCATATAGGTTAAAAATGCTGGCATCAGTTCTAGGTTAGAACTGTCAGCATCCCCTATAGGTCAGAAATGCCGGCATCAGTTCTAGTTTAGACCTCTCAGCATCAGTTCTAGGTTAGAACTATCATCATCAGTGCTATGTTAGAACTGTCAGCATTCCATGTAGGTTAAAAATGCCGGCATCAGTTAAAGGGTAAGCTGTCAGCATTCCTTATAGGTTAGAAATGCCGGCATCAATTCTAGGTTAGATTGTCTGCATCAGTTCTAGGGTAGAACTATCAGCATCAATTCTAGGGTAGAACTATCAGTATCAGTTCTCGGTTAGAACGGACAGCATCATTTCTAAGTTGCAACTGTTAGCATTCGTTCAAGGGTAGAAATGTAAGCATCCGTTCCAGGGTAAAACAGTCAGCTGCAGTTCTATCCTAGAACTGTCAGCATCAGTTCTATCCTAGAACTGTAATCATTAGTTCTATGTTAGAACTGTCATTATTAGTTCTATCCTAGAACTGTCATCATGAGTTCTATGTTAAAACTGTCATCCTTAGTTCTACGTTAGAATTGTCATCATTTGTTCTAGGGTAGAAATGTCATTATTAGTTCTATGTTAAAACTTTCATCATTAGTTCTATATTAGAACTGTCATTATTAGTTCTATGTTAGATCTGTCATCATTTGTTCTATGTTAAAACTGTCATCCTTAGTTCTATGTTAGAACTGTCATCATTTGTTCTAGGGTATAATAGTCATGATATGTTCTATTTTAAGACTGTTATCATTAGCTCTAGCGTAAAACTGTAAGCATTAGTTCTAGGGTAGAAATGTCATCATTAGTTCTATGTTAGAACTGTCATCCTTATTTCTCAAGTAGAACTGTCATCATTAGTTCTAAGGTAGAACTGTCGCCATTAGTTCTAGGGTAGGACTGGCATCATTAGTTCTAGAAGAGAGGGGCGAAAGATACCAGAGGGACATTCAAAATCATAGATAAAAAATAAACCGACAACGTCATGGCTAAAAAAGAAATAGACAAGCAGACAAACAATAGTACACAAAACACAAAATAGAAAAATAAAGACTAAGCAACACGAACCCCACCAAAAAACTGGGGGTGATCTTAGTTGCTCCGAAAGGGTAAGCAGATTCTGCTCTACATGTGGCACCCGTCGTGTTGCTCATCTTATTACAAACCCGGTAAATAGTCTAATTCGGTAGGTCACATTCGTGAAAAGGGTACGGGATTGTAGTAACGACATTAGGAACGTTACCGATATCATCTGTGAAACGGATATTCCATAACGGTCAACCAACTCGTGATGGCGTCCGTAAAATTGACGAAGGGATGATTGCAACTTCACCATTTGGAACTTTTCGTTTAATAGCTTCCTTGTGAGCAGCAACCCTCTAACAAGGAAATCATGATTGGAAATACAAGCCCGGAAATATCGTATCAATTGGGAGATATATACTCCGTATGAAGGCGCTGGGTAGAACTGTCATCATGAGTTCTCTAGGGTAAAACTGTCAGCAATATGTTCTAGGGTAAAACTGTCAGCATCGTCCTACGGCAGAATCAGTTCTAGGTTGGAAGTGTCAGCATCCGTTCTAGGTGAGAAATATCGGAACCAGTTCTCGAATAGCAATATAAGAATAAGTTCTAGGGTAACACTGTTCGGAACTGTTACAGGGTAAAACTCCTGACAACTGTTTATATATAAACTTCGAATGTACAAAATTAAGCACATGATATTATTTAAAAAAATGACCCATATGTTAATACAATACAAATAGGAATTCCAATCAAAATCCAATTAAATACATATTTGAATTCCAATATCTACTAGTAGAAATTGGAATACCCAGATTTGTAGTAGACTTGTGGAAAACTCGTACCATTGCAAACTTGATTGTGTTGTGTTAAATTATAAAAAAAATAAATAGTTGAACAGTTTAGTATGAAATCATTGACCTATTTCATTCTCATGAATTGTTTTTATATTATTAACTTTTAATTGTAAAAAAGTATGTTCTTGATAAATTAAGTATTTTTGATAAGTTATAGAAAAAAATAAACTACTACATAGAAAATATTAAATTGAAAACATCAGAGAAATATGGACCAACAAAATCAAAAAGTCAAAAAGTCAATATTTATGTACACTGTTACCTTTCAAATAATGGTCACACACGGCCCCCCATTGCAGAATTTACAGTTTTCACTAACAAAAATATGTCATCTTTTTAATATGATGCCAATTGTGTTATTTCCTTATCTAAATTTCTTCCTTGAAATTTCCATCCGGGAATAAAGCCACATTCTAGACAATGGTAGGGACATCTCAAAGAGGAATTTCTATATAACAGTCGTATTCATTAGTCAGTACGATGGTCATCCGTATTTTTTTGCTTATTACGTTAACATGTAGCATAGGCGATACAAAAAATTTATCTATACGCAAGTTACATTGTAGATCAAAGTGCGAGTCGTTCTTGGATGACGTTCAGGTTTTGGTATGCAACATTTTCTTTTGACGACCCTTGGAAGAACTTACTGATGAAAGTCTGATTTAAAAGGAACTCCTGAATTGACTTTCAGACTTTTATATAATTTGGTGGTATAAAGCATGTTACTCTTTTTCTTCAATGGCATATTTTATATCAACAATATTCACCGTTTTCGTTCCACTTGTAGTCATATCACTTCTGATTGTACTGGAGGATCACTGCTTGAACTGTTCTATCCAGAAACATATATAATATATAGTGCCAATATGTCTCTGATAAAACCAGCAGCTTTAGTTGAAAGTTGATCAAAGACACGTCACTAATTGCAATAAAACATTTACTGCATCATCCATATATTATCATTTCATAAGTTTTGCTGAGTAAATATAGACGGCAATGATATTTATCGTTTTGTCGTTTCTCTTTGATATCTGAGGTATCTTGGGCAATCATGTATAATACTCACTCAAAGGATCAGTATTGTAACAATTGTAAATAAATGTCAGTCCAAATGTCCTGCCATTCTCATTTGGAATCATTTGCATTTACATTAAAAATCTTATTTAAGAAAAGCAAAAAAACAAGTTTCAGATTATTTAAATTCACTTTTAACTTTTTGACACAACACTATACCCTATCATTCATATCATTCATGCATACAATGGTCATGTTGGTACAGTGGTATTTGAAACATACCACCATACAATTCCAAGTTGTTAACACACGTAACAAATATTAGGCACTTTAAGTATACTAATTTAGTGAACAAGTTTTAATAAACTTTACGTTGGATTCGATACGAATAAAACTGTATTTCCAAAGTATTTCCAACAATGGTACACTACATAGAAAACAGATATAATGCGGAGAACAAACACAGAAACATTTCCAAGCGACCACTTTCAGAATTACGCTAAGGATGATTCAAGTGTGACGACACTGTTTCGCCACAAATTCCAGCCTTGTATTAAGCCATTACGTCAGACTAAATATTTGATTTTGCATCTTTTAAAGATGTTCTATTTAAGTGACACGCAATGAAAGACATACCTCGTAATGTATAAAAAAACTTGTTTTGAAATGAATACAACTTTAATACATAGCTATACTAAAATATATATAAAACATTTGCCAGGGATTATAAAGCACCAAGCTTCAATCAGTAATCAAATATAACTTCATATAATGATTAAAATATGTAATGGCTTAATATCATAATGCAATATTCAAACGCATGTAACACACTTTTAATTATTAAATAATATAAAACGCTTACAGTTTTTTTGTATATACATATCAAAACGGAATTATGGGGTATTTTTTCGTCGATGAGTCACTACATCTAAAACATAATCCAAACTTTGCAGCCTCAGGTCAACATACGGTCGCCAATTACAGATGATCATTCAATGAAATAAGGGATAATCCTGGGTTATAAAACTTGAGAATTTTTGACAAAATATAAAATCTTCCAAGTTTTGTCTTCAGTGTCATTCGAGAGCATTGGAATTTAGTTATTGTATTCTAAATAGCAAACATAGCAAGCGATAAAGCCACATCTAATGGATCTGAACTAGTATAGGACTGCGGGAGAAGAGTTGTTCCGCTTGCTTCTATTCTTTAAAAAGCTAACCTTTTTACCATGTTTATTTTGGTAAGAACAATCAAGCATATATACATGTATGTAAGTAAGGCCGACTTTATCCTGATTTCTTTCCAATTGCAAATGGACTAAAAAGTGTAATTCCTTTAATAAATTCACCTTAAAAGAAACATCAATTAGTTCTCTTGCATGTGTGGTTTTAATTGTTGGCCAACATCTTTTAAATGGTTTTCATGTTGAATCGAGGATCCAAACACAGGCCCCCTCGTTGATTGCATGTACACTGTGGACTGGAGGTTTTCTTTATTTGACTTTTTATAAATCTTATCTATATCTTCCCAGCGTCTAAAGCTGATTTTAAGTTGCGTATTCTGAGAGATGTCCACGAATTTGGGACTTTTTGTCAAGTTGTCAAACATTTTCCGAGAAGCAACCTGAATGCATGCATCCAGGTAGTTAGATAATTTGTAAAGTTCAGCTTCAAGGATATTCAAAATGATTTGTTCTGATGAAATGGATTCTAGCCTAATCAAAACACTGTTGACAAGGAACTTTTCTATTCTTTTCTTTAAAGCTTCAGTTTGATATTCATCAGCTAAAGGCAACATGAGATGAACAGTGGCATCTGAAAAAAGATAATTTGTAGTTATTAATTTTCTCATTGGTTTCGACAGCACTTAAAATCTATAAAACATTTGAGAGAATAGCCAATTCATATACAAACGGAGATATGGAGTATTTATCGTCGATGAAACAACATATTTAAAACATAATCCAAAACGGGCATCCACAGGTCTACATACAGAACTCCAACTACAGATGATCGTTCAATAAAACAAAAGATTGTCCTGGGTAAATAACCTTGAGAAGTTTGGACACAATATAATTTCTGCCAAGTTTTGACAACTTCAGTGTCATTCGAGAATTAGTTAAAACAATCATACACTACATAATCCCTCCTTTGATAGCTTTCAGACAGTTATATAGTCTGTGAAATTTGAAGGATGGAGTGTCTATGCATTATAGTATAACTTCTAAATAATGCTGCTTATATGATGCACATATATGAATCATTTATCAACAGTCCTCAGTAAGGACACCGAAAAGAAAACTATCAAATATTTTGAAATGTGACCTGCGAAAGTACTAATGATATCAACATTCTGAATTGTCCGGTCTGTGGTATCCAATATATTGTTATTCATGTCGGAACTTGCTGTGTGGTATGAGTCTTACTCATTGTCTTTTTTTTTTTTTATATTTTTTTTTATTGATCTTTTTGGTGTTCAAACTACAGTGCATACATTCATTTTTACAAGACATAAGTGAATGACATGACATTTATGGCATTGTTATACTATTGATATTATGCGAATAAGACATAGTAAAAAAATTTACAAGTTGATGATGTGAATACTCAGTATATGATACATCTTAAAAAAATACTTTGGAATACATTAAATATATAATCAGATTAAAAATAAATTTAATTAAATAGCTTCCATAAATCCCCCCCATCTGTCGACAAATGACTCGTGTTTGTCTTTAGAAAGATATAAATATTCTAATATCTCTAGACGTCTTTTCAAAAATTTAAGAACAGCTTGCACAGATATTAACAGTCTGTCTAATTGTGTGTTCTTTACATAATTAATGTAATACTTTGCCTGTAGAATACAATAATTTAAAACTACGTTATCAGAATTCAATATACCAAAAATGACACTATCTTTATTCAAAAATATTTTTACTCCAAAAACTAAATACCACCAATTAGAAAATTCTCTCCAAAACTGTTTTGTTTCTATACATTCAAAAAATTTATGCTCTATAGTTTCTATTTCTTTACAACTGGCACATTCATTAGTTAAGGAAAGTTTATATTTTTCAAGAAGATAATTATGTGAGACTATTCTGTGTAACATTTTATATTGGAAAGCTTGTAGTTTGCTTTCTATAGTACATTTAAAAGCTAGTGAATAAATATTTTTCCATTTTTCGTCACTAATTTCTATATTAAAACTTTCTTCCCACCTTTGTTGTGAAATAGGAGAAATACTTCCCCGATCGATAAAAAGTGAATATACATCCTTAGCAAATAATTTACTGATAGGCTTTTTTTTATTCTCATTCTCAAAAACGAATCCGAATGAGTTGCTGTTAGGTGACATGTGTTGTTGTAATAACAAATTTTTCCAGTCACGTGGTATAGCAAGTTTATTAGATTGAATGTCTACAAAAGTAACATTCAGTTTATATTTTTGGTTAATAGCGTCTTGAGACAAAAATTCGCCTTTATCATCTACAATATCATTGATGAACCTTATGCCTTTCATGTACCAAGATCTGTAAAAAATACTCGTTCTGTCAATTTTGATCAACGGATTGAACCAAATAAATTCTTTTCTAACATGAAATGCATTTAACGGGATGAAAATACCCTTGAAACGTTTCCAAGCAGATAACACTTCTATATAAAAAAGAGGTTACTCATTGTCGAAGACCTTACGATGACCTATAGTAGTAAACTTCTACGTCATTTAGTTCTTGGAGAAAAGTTGTCTCATTGGCATTCATACGACATCTACTTATTTATATATTTATGTTTTCAATCCAAATGGCAATGATAGAAACCAATAGTCGATTTTTTTTAACAGGTTAAAAAGCAAAAGTACTTGCATTTGTATGATCAATTATTTTAAACAAATGGCTTTCATATTGCATTTTGAAATAAACGAAGACACTGACAAAGACCATTTTTGGTGTCCACATATATTAAAATTTAAAATTCGCCTTCAATCCATTTATTATCGTATTAAGACATATTTTTGAGTATCGTTTATTTTTTTAGACTGTTATTATTGACTCTGTTTATGCAGAATTGTCACTTATAGACAATCCGGTGCATTTACCTATTACACATTGCTTAATACTCTATATATTTATACTTATATCAGTATGATATCATGCTGCTAAATATTCATTTTTGTTATAATGGGTCTACAAATAATATTTGCGACGCCATACTTAAGAGGCAGTACCATCATCTGAAGATCATAGATGGCGTATCACATTGACAGGTTACTATCAAAGATAGAGTAACACAACAGCTAGTACTTCAAGCAACACATGTTACTACAATACTACAGGACTTGCACAACGACATGGGACACTCTGGCAAAGACCGTACATTGTCACTATTGAGAGACAGATTTTACTGGCCTAGAATAGCCAAGGAGGTTGAAGAATGGATAGCACATTGTGGAAGGCGCATTCAACATTTCCAAACAAGAGAGTTCCGCTAATCAGCCTTGAGAAAACAAGTGTGTATGGTCTACTTACTTTAGAGTCACTCAAAGGAAGTCAACAGCACATTCTGGTCATAACAGATCACTTTACAAGATTTGCGCAGACCATTCCCTACTAGAACCATACAGCAAAGATAACAGATGAAGCCTTCGATTAGCATTTCACAGTGCATTAACCGACGGGGAACGAAATGTGCGAAAAGTCCAACCCAATTCTACTTAACATGCTGGGGACACTTCAAACAGACAAAAAGAAGAACTGGAAAGCTTATGCAGGACCACTTGTCCACGAATACAACTGTACCAATAATGAGTTTACTGGATTCGCAACACACTACCGTATGTTTGGAAGAGATCCCAGATTTCCAGTTGATGTAGCATTTCACACACGAAAAGGACCTTAGAGAACGGTTGGAATTTGCTCACAACTTAGCTACTAAAGCGTTGAAGAAAGCACAACTGAGGCAGAAGACGAACTATGAAACCAGAGTAAATGGAGTTACCATCAAGAAATGAGATTTAGTCCTGGTGAAGTTGCATTTGAAATCAAACACAATGTTGTACCTGGTCAACGGAATCCGGACATATCAGTCTTCACAGTGAGAAAGAGAGTGGAGAAGGACTATTCGTGTCGGTCAATCAGAATAAAGAAAGCACCTGCTTGGCTGACGTCAGGAAAATATGAGCTTTCGAAGAGTCAAAACACCACTGCAAATTGGTTTAAGAGAGTTCACTGCCTTACATCTTTAGCAGGCACTCATCTAATTCATGGAAAACAGTCAAAAGCAGCACAGGCTATCATTTACAACATCAACCACAGACAGGAAATGACGGGACGTCATTTCACGGTTGAAGAGAGTATGTGATGGCCAGCTATTTTATGCATTTTGTTTATTGATATATTCATAGTATTGATATATGTTTGAATAAAGTTGTATCGTCAGCTTATTAATTGCATTTTGTAATTAAGGATAAGCATTGTGTATTGTTCTATTTTAACTTATTGAAATGGACTATTGACGGACGAATTCTCATCTCATGTTTTGGTTAAGTATGATTTCACTGTAGTTAGTACTTTATTTTCACCGTTGATTTGAGGGCTATCTTACTTTTCTACTATTGGTTAGGAATTTATGGCGGTTTAATTCTTAAGTTCTGGATCTTATTGGAAGACATCGTGTGGTCAACACTTATATATTTACCTGTTTGCAATTTAACATCTTTAAAAATCAATATCTTCAATTACAATTCTGTAATTGGAAAGTTTCTTATATAAGGTCAGTTTTATTCTTTCTTTATTAATTTTGCAGTAACGGTCCAAAAGTTCATATTCGACACGTATGCATGTGTAGATTGAATGCAGTGAACAAGTATCAAATTTTATAATAAAAGAGATCGTAATTGTTTATAAAACTTAACAAGAGTATATTTTACGATCAGATATGATAATACTAAAATAACCTAGTTAAATCTGGTATAAATATTTGAAGATAAACTTTACGTATAAAATTGGATGAATGCGCGGATCGAGTGGACCGGTATGAATGCTGTAATTTTTAAAGATTAACCGAATTAAAGTAAATAGATCTTAGAGCTCTAAATAGATATCTGGGTTTATATTAATTTTCATAGTAAACATGCTTAGCCACTTCAATTGATATTTTATAGTGTGTCTTTCTATGTTGTGATGTTACACTATTGTTTCAGGTAAGGGTGAAGGTTGGTACCTATTAAAACGTTTAAACCCGCTGCATTTGTTTGTACCTGTCCTAAGTCAGGAACCTGATGTTTAGTGGTTGTCGTTTGTTTATGTGGTACATAAGTGTTTCACGATTCTTTTTTTTTATTTAGATTAGACCGTTGGTTTTCCTGTTTGAATGGTTTTATATTAGTAATTTTGGACCCCTTTATAGCTTGCTGTTCAGTGTGAGCCAAGGCTCCGTGTTGAGTACTTTGACCTGTAATGGTTTACTTATACAAATTGTGACTTGGATGAAGAGTTGTCTCATTGGCACTCATACCACATCTTCTTATATCTATTAACAGAGATTTATAATAATTATTCTTGTTATACAGGTATATTTAAACCTTACCTAAGATGTAGATGGTTGATATGGAAATGTGCCACTTGCAGGATATGTGAGGAAAGCTAAGTGTATTTGTATTCTTGTTTCGCTTAGTTTTTGATATTTGCTTTGCTTTATTGTAACGTAACTTTTTGTGCTTATTTGCTTTTTGTTTGACCAAGCACACATGTTACGTTTTTGTGCAGTTTATGTTATCAACACCAATATTTTGTACAGGAAACATAATAGACATTGGTATGAAACAGCATACAAGAACATGCACTATGATTAAAGTCTAATTAGTATAACTGTAATTGAGACAAGTATTTGCAATGGTATCAACACTATATATTTTTGTGACTGCAGCTAAATAAGTTTGCATGACAATGAAGTACGAACATTAGTTGAAATTATTATTACTTAATAAATACAGAGTTATCTTTCTCTGACTTTTAAGTACATTTATATTTTACAGGGCTGTTTTTTCATATCCATTGAATGTACTTCGTATCGTCTGAATACAAGTTACAGAACCCTAGCTTGAGTTATTCATTAAGAAAAGTCGGCTTGTACATATTCATCCTTTCATGGAAGATACATGTATACCAATGTTTTGACTTCATTCCAATAAATGTACTTTCTTACTTATTACTTCTTAAGCATTAATTCTATGTTCTGTTAAATTTGCGTGCAAGTATATGGACAAGGTTCAAATATTGCACTCATTAAAGTATTTAACACCTAATAGCTATTGTCTAAAGAGAATTAGCTCCAGTCTGGAGTTTACGTTTACTTCCCTTCAAAGAAAAATATTTAAACTCAACAACTCCTCTGTTTGCGTCAAATTAATGTAGGTTTGTGTTCTGTAGAATGATTTAGAGAAAAGGGTAAAATAACAAAAATACCGAACTCCGAGGAGATTTTTTAGAAACTCTAGTTATATTAAAGAAATATAGAATGGCCAGTCAACGCATAACTATATATTCTTATCTACTTATCTTTGATGCTCACGGGGTGTCTTTTTAAACAGAGGACGTACAAAAATGAACAGAAAATCAAAATTTATGAATGACGATTGTTCTGAATGGGTCTATGAACCAGGTAAATAAATATCTTGTCTATTGGTGTTTTACCTGTTAATTCATCATCGAATCCCGGGCAAAGGTATCGTAGAAAACAAACAAAATGGTTTAGGTTTTTCCCAGGTAATGGTATTTCTTTTTCCGATCCTTCCTTAAACTTAGAACTGAACTTTGCTTCAAACACAGGTGACACAGCTATAAGTTGCTCCTTTTCAACATACAGTTTTCTTTCTTCAAATATGAATGCAACATTTGGTTCATTGAAAGGAGAAGCCAAGTTTGTTAGCGCTTTTAAATCTCCGTTTTTACTAATATTACTTGGCCAAAATCTATGGTTTCTCTTGATAGCTGTTTCCATTTCATGAGTTAATTTTTGTGTACCTATAAAAACAAAAACAAAAAACGAATTCAATTGACAATCATTTAAGCTGTAAATAAAAAGTGAAAAGATTAGCAAAAACGGAAGTTAATGTTAGACTAAGTTTGAAAATGTCATCAAGCACACGAGTAGAGCGTGTCAATACATTTTAACGACAACTTCTGTTGTCCCTGGAGGCGTCTTCGCCTCACTGGTCTTGTGGTAGTTTTCTCTGTTCATTTGTATAGTGGTAGTGGCTCGCATTGAGTGGTGCCCTGGCATATTTGTCGCTGTATGTAGTACAGCAAATTCCTCTTTATAATCATACTCTTCATGACAGAAAAAGTGTATTTTCATCACATTTGTATTTTGTAAAGTTTCATACATTGATTAAAGAATTGTACTTTGTGCAATTCCAATTTGATTCATAGGTTTTCGGATTCGCTGGGTTCAAAATTGTGGTTACCTATAAATTGATGACCGTCGATCCCATAAGACTTTCTTAGTTATCGCTTTATTTTAAGCATCACCATTCACTGAAAAGGTTTTGGTGTTTAAAAAAAATATTTCTAGCTCCCGAAAAAAGTTTTCAGGTATCGCTTGATTAGATTCATTTCAGAAATAATATAAAAAAATAAAATTTCGCTACCTCGCTTCACTTGTTGTACATGAATATACTAAAGTCAATAATCAGTTTCGAGTGGCATTTTTCAAACGTTAAACTCATATTGCACGTTCAACAGCAACAAAAGCTAACACCAATTGTTTTTTAAAGTTTCATATGACAAAGGAAAAGGCACGAGCTAGTAGGGGATAGGTGCTACCCGATGAGCCCCGAATGATATTGGTTTTTATAAAGTGGATTGTGCATGTTTGTTTTACTTATCATCATGGTTTTTGGTAATCAGATATTCAAATTTTCAGAAAGCTGTATGCGCCAGAACCGGAAAAGTTTTATTGCCGTCATGTTATTGACTTTTTTTCATGACCATAGTGCTTATCTACTATGCATGCTCCAGTCGGAAACATATTAAAATACAAATTGAGGGAATCATATGTAAGGTGTTATTTATTAATAAATTTCTACAGAATGATTATAAAATCCCCGGAAATTCGGTTTTAAAACAAATTAAATTGTAAATCTCGATTGTATGAAATGTAAAATCGTAGTTATCCGTTATCTCTGGTGTTTTTTTTTTTTGTAATTGAGTTTCATGAAAATTAGTTGATTAAAGTAAGGTTGGCTTATTGTACGAACTTTATATGAAAGGAGTGATAGTGATACAACATATCCTGTCCACGACGCTATATTTCAATTTGAGTAAAGAGCAGACGTCAGGTTATTATTTCTTTTAAATTTTTCATTAATTCTAAATTGCTTGTTTCAAGAAGGGGACAACGGGAGATTCATTCAAATGTTCAGTAAAGAACAGGTGTTGACATTAGCGGAAATATTTTTTTCCTGGATCGCTGATTTTTTTCCTACATCAACAAGATACATTTAGAAAGTAAAAAATAGATTACAAAAAGCCTTTAAGCTTAAAAGGGTGTTTATTCGAGGTTCGAATTTTTAGACGGGTTGCTTACAATTCAAAGGCGTCTAATTATATGTTACGATAAAGTCGTTATTTAAGGAGGACAGTGGACGTAAAGGCGAGCGGGAAAGGGGGTACACAATTTGTATTAATACATCTACGTCTCTTATGGTAAACGTAATAAAATTAATTGACTGTATGTGTATATATTCGAGCAGAAAGAAGAATGAAAATATACTTTTCATTACTGAAATGTAGGGTATATGTGGAACAGGCGCTTGCAAGCTTATTGAAATATGTGACTGAGAAAAAAACTGACAGTAGAAATTTCTATGGGAGCGACCAATTGAACCTTTTGAAACTGTTTTACAAACAATTTCTTCAGTAAAGTGGTTAACTACGCAAATATAATTCCAGCCCACAACTGGACACGCGTTCACCGTTCCTGTTCAATAATCACAAGCAATGATATGAAAACAATGGTTATCATGTTCGATGTAACACTAAGAAATTCTAAATTGAAAAATTAGAAATGAACCAAAAACGTGTGTAGAATACCTTGTTCACGATATCTCCCATCAAGAATAGGATTTAACGTTCAAACAATTCATTATTATACTCATGACATTAAATGGTTCAAATCGATAATAAACTTTTTGAGACAGTCCCCATATTTGAACTCGAGTATATACATTTAGTATGATGTTTGATAGCAAATATCTAAGTTTGACCTGTTACATATCATATTGGTTTAATATACTATTTTGCCTTCCCGACATATAAATAATAAGGTTTATAAGATACATGTGCTTATATCCAAGTCGTCTGGTCTCTAGCTGATAATTGTCTCATTGAAAATCAATCCACGTCTGTTTTATTATGGCAACACATACATTTATTTTCGTTCACAAAAACACATTTATCTACAGTTCATTTTGTGGTAATAAACTTATCAAAGATATAATGGTTATAATTCAAAGTCAATAAATGCTAAAAAACAATTTTTACCTTCAAAACAATATCTTTAACTGTCCTTGGAATCTATACGTGTTTTGTTTATGCCTAAACCAAACCGAGAAGTATAAACCACATATCTACACAGTACCGAAATAGATAATATGTCGATTGACGTTTCCACATTTGGTCATTATGCAATTTCTTAAATATTTGGATGTGTAATCATGCTGTTATGGATACAAAAAAAAAAAGGAAACTAAAATTTGAAGCACAAATATTTTATCAAAACTCCGATTCGATCGATAACACTATCGACATAGACATGATATAGTCGCTCTGATATTCTGCTATCCAATTTTTATACGACATTCCATTCGTCTGACATCAAAAATAGTCTAGCAAAAGTCAAGTACTGTCGGAATAGAAAACCTTTAAACATAAACTAGTCCAATACTTCCATATAGTTCTAAATGTAATTACACATTAGGTTTAAAAAGTATTCACAGTGAACTAAATAGTATTTTCTTCGATAAAATGTTCTCTGATGGTAATTTAGGACCAATTGGTGCTTGTGATCATTAAATGTATGTAACCGAAGACGACAATGATGATTTTGAAAAACAGATAAAACAATAGTTGAGATGTTTTATTTTAAACAGTGGATTCAAAAGCAAGTAAGTACCGCTTCATCAATTTAATGTTCTTTGCAAAGACATACACAGTTTAAACATTTAGGAAAGTATTGGAACTTGGTTTCGTAATAAGTTCTCATTTATTTAAAGAAAATATAAGAAAGTGATGTTATAAATTAAGTCAGTGAAACACTGACTACCGAGCTGATGGCATCTTCAAATACTAGCAGTCTACACAGGTAACGATCAAGTGCAAGAAAATGAAAATAACCCTTGATAATTCTTTATAATTTAGGTGCATCTGAATTCTGAAACGTGATTCTATGATTTCCTTCATCGGATTCATATGAATTTAAGACAAATACAAAATCAAGGATGTATAGATAGTTGGGGAAGCATATGGAAATTAGGGATAACTATTGAATAGACTTTTAAAAAAAAGATTAATTTTGTGTTCTCCGAATGTACGTTAGAAACGGCGAAACAATTTTTTTTTATGTTTTTGTTACTTTATTCACAAATTTCGACATTCCGTTCAAATAATGTTATTTAAAAACTATATGTTATTACTGTGAACCTTTTAATTTTAAACATATATATCATAGGGTCACATTTTATGTTACTTTCGAACATCACTCAAACTTTAATGATTGCTACTAATATGACGTATCCAATAATATTTTATTGGCATACAAATTTCATAAAATTCCGAATTGCCACCGAGTTAAATTAACGTTTCCTTCATTCCAAAACATTCGTAACCAATGTATCACATAAAAAGGAACAGCTATCAATATGTATAATAAAAAGTGACATCCCATTTGTTTGACACAACAGTACAGACATGAGAACAAGTATAAATGACCATATGACTTTCAACAATGAGCAAATCACAAACCGTATAGTCAGCACAATAATGTATTTTTTAACCGAAAAAAAAAAAAAAAACCAACGGTCTTATTAAAACTACAACAATAAAAGCCATCAGATTAAATAGCAACCAAAGACAACCATTTGATAACAATGTCCTGATAAGACACATACAGAATATGGAGTTCAACATTTTTGAAATGCTCCACAAATTCTTATACCGTAAATAATGGTGTAAAAATTCAGGAATTTTAGCTAACTCGAACCATTGAAACTTGGAGAAACATAAACTTGTCCCCCCCCCCCCCCCCAAAAAAAAACAAAACAAACTCGTACCAATGTAACTAAATCCACTAAAATGCATATGAAGTAAATGTAATGTTAGGTGGATGGGGGGTCTAAATTAAAATCCAATTTTTTTTTTAATAATTTGTCAAAATGTAGTTTTTATCATGCTTTTTTCCAAAATATAATAAAAGGTATGGGTCACCGGACTTTTTTCACGCTACAGGTTGTGCGAAATTGTCAGATTTTGTATAGATTATGCATGGAAAATCTAATTTTGTGTGATAAAAAGAAAACTTAACCATAGAATTCAAAGATAAAATGTGAGAAAAGAGGGACGAAAGATACCAGAGGGACAGTCAAACTCATAGATTGAAAATAAACTGAAATCGCCATGGCTAAAAATAAAAAGACAAACAGACAAATAATAGTACAGAAGACACAACATAGAAAACTAAAGACTAATCAACACGAACACCACCAAAAACTGGGGGTGATTTCAGGTGCTCTGGAAGGGTAAGCAGATCCTGCTCCACATGTGGCACCCGTCGTGTTCCTTATGTTATTACAAATCAGGTAAATAGTCTAATTCGGTAGGTCACATTCGTGAAAAGGGAAGGGTATTGTAGTTACGACATAAGAAACATATCCGATATCATCTGTGAAACGGTTATTCCATAACGGTCAACCAACTCGAATTTACGGAGGGATGATTGCAACTTCACCATTTGGAACTCTTG